CTCCCCACAACAGACACCCTGTGAGGTAGGTGGGGCCGAGAGAGCTCTGACAGAAAACTGCTCTTTTTCAAGAACAGCTCTTATCAGAACTAGGGCTTGCCCAAGGTCATTCAGCAGCTGCAAGTGGAGGAGTGGGGAATCAAACCCGGTTCTCCCAGATTAGAGAACGCACACTTAACCACCAGAAGAAGAAGAGGAGAGATTGGATTTATACCCGGCCCTTCACTACCCAAAGGTGTCTCAGAGCGGCTTACAAACTCCTTTCCCTCCCCCTCCCCACAACAGACACCCTGTGAGGCGGGTGGGGCTGAGAGAGCTCTTGACAGAAACTGCTCTTTTTCAAAGACGGCTCTGATCAGAACGACGGCTTGCCCAAGGTCATCCAGCCCGGTGCAAGTGGAGGAGTGGGGAATCAAACCCGGTTCTCCCACATTAGAGTCCGCACACTTAACCACGACACCAAACTGGCAGTAGATGCCTTGACCTGAACGGGTCATCCTAGCCCAGTTGCATCAAATCTCCGAAGCTAAACAGGGTCGGCCCTGGTTAGTACTTGGATGGGAGACCACCAAGGAAGTCCCAAGATCCCTACGCGGAGAGAGGCAATCGCAATCCACCTCTTTTTGTCTCTTGCTTCGACCTGGACCTTGTCAAATCTTGGCTGCTCAGCAGGGTCGGCTCTGGTTGATATTTGGATGGGAGGCCACCCAGGGAGTCCAGAGCCCTGACAAGCCATTTCTGAAGGTCTCCTGCCTTGAGACCCCGAGGGGGTTGCCATAAGTCAGCGGTGACTGGACCGTGCTTTCTAGTACCAAAGGGGTGGACGTCCCCTGAAAGCTGACGTCCTCGGGAGTCAGAAGGGCTGCTGAATTTCCAAGAGGCTGAGAGCGTGGGATTTCTGAACAATATATTTCCACGGGAGTTCAGATTGGTTTTTTTTTTTAAAAAGCAGCAATCTGCTTGATTTGCATAACATAACATAAAGGTAAAGGTTTGCCAGTTTGGTGTAGTGGTTAAGTGTGCTGACTCTAATCTGGGAGAACCGGGTTTGATTCCCCACTCCTCCACTTGCACCTGGCTGGATGACCTTGGGCAAGCCATAGTTCTGATAAGAGCTGTTCTTGAAAAAGAGCCAGTTTCTGTCAGAGCTCTCTCAGCCCCACCTACCTCACAGGGTGTCTGTTGTGGGGAGGGGGAGGGAAAGGAGTTTGTAAGCCGCTCTGAGATGCCTTTGGGTAGTGAAGGGCGGGGTATAAATCCAATCTCTTCTTCTTCTTCTTCTTGCTCGAAAGCTAGTCGGATTCGACTCTAGGGGTGCGGTGCTCATCTCTGTTTCCAAGCCGAAGAGCCAGCGCTGTCCGAAGACGTTTCCGTGGTCATGTGGCCGGCATGACTAAACACCAAGGCGCACGGAACGCTGTTCCCTTCCCACCGAAGTGGTACCTATTTATCTACTTGCAATTTTTTCTTGCTTTTGAACTGCTAGGTTGGCAGGAGCTGGGGCCAGAGACGGGACCTCACTCCGTCACGCGGCACTCGGGTCTCGAACTGCCGAACTACAG